ATGTCAGTTCTTAGGAATAAAGAACTTATATTCGATTGCGTATCACCCTCAAACAGATGGACAAACTGAGCGAGTAAATCAACAGATGGAAATCCTGCTCGGAATGTATGTAAACTACAACATGGACAATTGGGATCAACTTCTACCAATTGCTGAGTTCGCTTATAACTGTTCGCCACATAGTAGCCACGGTTTGTGTCCCTTTGAAGCCTGTTACGGCTATGTGCCACACTACGACATCCATTCGCACGATATTCGATCGAAGTCAAACAAGTTGGAGAAGAAATGGAGAGATATGGGAGAATTACATACGGCTGTTCAAGAACAGGTCAGGATGGCTAATGAGATTAGTGGGGAATACTACAACAGGAGGCACAAGAGCATTCCAGAAGAGTTCAGAGAGGGAGAACAGGTCCTACTGAGTACAAAGTATCTTACGACGGAACGACCCAGTCGAAAATTAGAAGCAAAATACATTGGCCCTTTTAAAATCATAAGGAAGGTTGGGAAAAATGCTTTCAAGTTGGATCTACCTCCATCGATGAAAGTGCACAATGTCTTCAATGTCACACTACTGGAACCATATCCTAAGGACATGATACCAGGTCGACAGATACAACCCCCACCACCTGTAGTAATTAACGGCCAGGAAGAAATCCATGTGGAAGCAATTGTGGACAGCAGAATTCGACGAGGGAAGGAAGAATTCAAGGTAAAATGGTTAGGATACACAGGAAATGCGGCCTATGACTGGGAACCACGAGAAAATGTAGAAGAGTTGGCCGTTTTTGGTGAATTTTTGGAAAAGAGGAAAAGGGACCCCAGAAGAAAGTGAGAATTCGATCAAGATCAACAAGACTGGGTCGGAAATGAATGCATACACAGGAAATATACCTACAAATAGAGAGATATAAACACACTAGAAGTTGGAGGTGGTAGAATTGGCTCGGGGACGACGGGCCGAAGCGGGAATACGAATGACATTGCGGGGAAGAGGAGTATGGGGAGAAGAGGATGGACCGGCGACTGGTTGAGAGGAACTCAATCCTGTAGGATCACCAGTAGAAGTAAGATGATCCAGAGTTTCATCGGCGGTAGGAGGAGCGTAGTTGGCAGAAATAAGGTGGAGAGATTTGTACAAATCCAGATGTTGAGAGGGGAGAGGAAGGAGAAGGGAGGTAAAGAGATGGATGTAACCCGAAAGTTGGGTCAGACAGGCGGATTGATCATGGGCAGGAAGGGATCGATAACGGACCGAAGCTGCACAAAGTTCGTGCTCCAGGACAAAGGTAACCTTGGAAGTGACCGTTCTTGCTCCCACAACGATACCCTATACATCAACATCGACCAAGTTCGAAGGAAATAGACGGGTACCTCACGAAATTTGGACTCGGGATTGTTGGTCTTCACCGAACATTTTGAAGTACCCTTAGCAGAACATTCGCCGCACACACCACCGACTGAATTGCATCAACATCGAACGAGTCGCAACAAGAACTTACGAGGGCCAATACAACCAACACGAAAGTCTTCACCACCATCGAGACGGCGTTGACAATCGGTACAGAGCTCACCCTCTAGTCGAACAACAGCACCATTTTTGTTGCGGAGGCGCCAACCTTGGGCCAAACGATCGAGCTAATGATTGGAATCGATGAAACTTGAAAGAATTCAAGGCTTACAGCGTTCTTAAACCACTTTACAGTGGGCTTGATGGCGTTGGTCTCGCGGAATCGATCCAGAGCTTCGTCCTTCAACGCAAGACGAACGGAGGAGAAGGTCATGCTGGACCAAAGGGCAGCTAACAAGTCAGAAGCGAACAGAACTCGGTGGAATTCTCACCGATCTCGGAGTCTTTTCGATCCTGGAGCAACTTAACCAGTTCATCATTGGCCGGAACCTTGCGAGGGGCGTGAAAAATGGTTTCGAGTTCATTGGGAACCTCGACAAGTCCCTCTGAATAATCAGAAGGTGGCGCAGGGGACTTATTACCGGGAGAATTTTCATTTTCAACGACGGTGCCGTGTTCGGATTCGACGGACTTGGCGGGAGATAGGTTCTCACCAGTGGCAGATGGCCCAGCACCCCCTTCGAAGTCGATATATTGCTCGATGACCTGGTTATCAAGGGACGATTGTGGTTCGCGAGAAGGACCGGATTGATACTTCTCCTTAATGGTGTCGAGAGCTCGTCGAGACGCATCAACCAATGGGGGTTGAGAGGAAGCGGGCACTTGGGAAGTAATTCTCATTCTTTTCGTTTGACGCATGGGAAGTTCGGGGTCGACGTCGGGTAGGATTGCCAAGGTAGAAGCTCGAGTTTGACGGGAGGAGGTGGAAGGAGACAACTAGTCTCGTCAGCCAGTGAGAAATAGGAGGATATACATCGAATTCGAAAGGAATTGCTTACAGTACGCTTAGACATGCTCACAGACAGGTCAGAGTTGGAAGGATACTCTAAGATATGAATAAGATATGGATGGATAATGATAGATAAGTAAAAAGAACGACAAACAAGAGGTAAAGAGAGAATGAGGAGGAAAGAAGAGAAAGAAGACGGGGAGGTAACTTGGTCAGTAATTTCTCGATCACATTGGAGGTCCGTGCGGGTGACGCGTTTTCATGGCAACCGTCACACTAGCGTGGGTATGATGTCAGGGCGCACCAAAGGTGTCTAAGAACAATCGATGTGCATCACCTGGTTACAGGGTTCAGGATCCTCGGCGAGGATCCTTGAGACAGGGGGGGAAACTTGTTAGGGGGGAAACTTATTAGGGGGAAAACTTGTTACGGGGTAACAACGAATCGAGAGGACTCTATCGAGTTCGACGGATTAGGACAGAGGAAAGCGGGAGTTGGAGGCAGTGCTGCAGTAGGTAGGGACGGGTTTTCCCCTTTCGAGATTTCCCCACTGGGTTTGCTCAAAGCGGTTTTTCACCTGTCCGAGTATGTACGTACGTAGACGCTTGCAGCAGGAAGAGGACAAGGGCGAGGATATCCGTAGACAGTATATAGTACAATCAGCAAAGTACCAACTTTGCTGATTCTTCAATATCATTCTTTGGCTACATCGATTGCAGAGGAGACACGATCCATTAGCACCAGAGCCCCTAGATTTCCACAAGACATCCATCGAGTTTGACCCAACCTGCGACCTAGCCATCGTGTTTCCAGTACCGTTACAGTATCTCAATTTGAATATAGCTATCTCTATCAATCTTTCACTACTGACAACAAGCAAGGATTGCTGAAGAACTTCAGCAATCTTCTCAGCTAATATTATCTACTCCTCCTAGATGTTCACCCAACCCTCTCGCGCTTAGACGTACTTCAACGCACTTTGTCCAACTTCCCCGAGTCCCCGGCCATCCTTCTCCTCCTTTGACTACCTCTGCCTGACTGTAGTGAACCTACATGAGTAGTAGTATACACCTTCCATACTTCTCTTGTATCGGTCTCATCTATCTAGTAGTTACAACCTCTGTCCGTAGTTGGAGGCTACTTCAGTGTCAAGGATACTGCCCACCCTGGGACAGAGGACAAAGGACAAGGACTAGGAGTACAAGGAATATACTTAAGATAACACGACTGAGTCCAACAAGGAATGGGACTGTGACCCAAGGAATGTCTCTGGCTTGTCTGACAAGACTAGAGGTAACTGGAATGGACTGGACTGGACTGGATTGGATTGGACTCCAAAAGGGTGGCAATGGATATGACTTTTGATCAAGAACTAAAGAAGACTACAAAGTACAAGATAGGGTTTATATAGACAAATCAGCCTTTTCCAAGAGGCTCGTGCAGACCTGCGGAATATGAGCGCTCTGAACCGTCCTGTACTGTCCTGCATGCATTGCCATGCATCCCACCGATAACCACTGATATCCTACAATGCCATATCTGTATTTGCCTACGTCCTACTATGACATCCTACGGGATGCGCCGGAAGTCACTCGACTCTGTTGAAGGTGGTCGATGAGGAACTATGCAGAACATAGAAGTGCTGCAAGAACAAGAGACTGAGATATTATGCCTTAGCAGGCATTAGAACAGAGGAACTAGAGACTAGAGATTTACTGGGGACTTATCCCTTGCAGGCATGGGAGCTAAGCACCGACATACTAGAATGATACTTGGAGTTTATGCCTGATAGGCATGAGAGCAGAGGTGAAATATTAATACACAAAAGTGGAGGTTGGACTTGTTTGGAGCAACAAGGAACACGTGATGGTGTGATTCATGACAACATAGTTTGTGACAGAAGTATAGATAGTTTACAGATTGCTGAACTTCTTCAGTGATACTTGATTGTTGTCAGTAGCGAGAGATATATTCAGTAGCTACAACCTTCAAGTTAGGAGAGCTACCATTCAGCAGTTCAATGTACCACGGCGAGGTTAGCCGCAGTTCATCAACAATCATCTTATCATTTACCACTCAACGTATTACTACTGTATAGTTAGCCGTAGTTCCCCGATGAGTACCCTGCCTCAGTGAGACATCAACGCCCTAGTACGCCATAGTTAGCCGAGGTTTGTCGACCATCGGTCAGTACAGAAGAAGAACCAACGTTTCTGACAATGTTACAATATGGTTTGTGACATCATGATTGGAAAGGGGCTACAGAAAAAGATGAGATGAATGCATGCATGGGAGGAAGAAACAGCATTTGGAAATTTAAATTGATGAGTATGCTATTGTGCAACAACCCAATCAGCTGCACTCATCTCCGCTTGATACAAAGCAGAAAGGGACTGTCCAAGATCTCAACATGGCAGGTATTCTTCAGCCAGTCACATTTATACCTGTGACACTTCAAAGTGTCATGTCTTCTGTACATCAGCTAACATACATCACGACCCCCCAATGGCAGCTAAGTACTGGAGAGGGCATAAAGCGATGTTAGCGCCTTGGCCAAATCCATTTCCCAGTAGTTGACCATTGGCTCTTGAGGCATGCGAGGACACCTGTTCAAGGGTCGCCTGTGCCTCGGAAGTTCCTTCAGGTGATGCCGCAAGCCCTCATAAGGGAGTAATTCTGCAGGTATGGTGTATGTCCCTGATGAGTTCAGCTCAAGATTGGTGCTTACAACTGAAGGGATATCCTCATCTTCTGAGTGGTCTACATGTGTCTGTGCTGCAAGTCTCCCAATTGCCTCCTGAACACATCTGTGTACTGCTAGCTCGTCATCTCCTTGTTTTGGGTAATCCCCAATGAAGAGTTGAACGTCACCAAAGCCCTCATCCCGCAATAATTGAGTGGTTGCTTTCGGATTATCTTTGAGCGAGTCAAAGTTGTCACACAGCAAAAATATATGATTGAACATGATTGAGACAAGGAGAGTATTGAGAGTTTCTTTCTGGAAGGGATAAGAACTGAGCAATTCAGTTTGAGTTACCTCTTCTCAAGTAGTGAACAGTGACTTACCAACACACTTTCTGTGTCAGGTATTGGTTGGAAACTCGATCTACTACAGCGGAATCACCTGAGTGCGCGTATGGAGAAGAGTTGCTGCCGGAATGCAAGGTGCTTGGAGGTACCAAACTGAACTCGAGAATGATTGTTGTAGCAGGTTTCTTGTCACCTATCGAGATTGACCCGAGGTCAGGCCACGGTCCCAATCTCAAGTCAAGGTCGGTCTCAGAAGATGGATCAGAGAGGCTCCCATTACCCCTGTCACCGGAGACATCATCAGCCCTTGTTGCAACTGGCGTAGACTCATCGTTCTTCCATAAATTCTTGTATGTCATTTCCAGAGCAGACCCTTGCACAGCCTTCTATCAGGTCATATAATTGCAAAGACAACTTGAGGGATTTGGGAGGGATGGAGAGGTTTAAGTATGATGGAAAACCGTGAGAAATTAATTCTGATGTTGAATCTCGACGTCATTTTTCACGTCATAGACAGCTTAGCACTACGTAATTGGTCACAATGGTAGAATAAAGGAGCGGTGAGATATGTCCAAACGGATTGACATCCTCTCCCCTTCCCCCTGACTATCAACGAAAGGTGATCTCATCCGCTCATTTCCCCCTGTTGACTTTCCGTGCGCGTCATTCAGCCACTATCCTCGAGGCCGATCAGGGAATCATAACGATAGCTTGGACCGGACGTTCTCACCAGGAAACTGATCAATGTTACTTGGAGAGAGCAAGTTGCTTCCCCCATCAGGCAACGTAATCTGACACAAGCTTATTACTGACCGACTGTCACGACCAGTCCTTATAGTGAGATCAACTCTCGCTAGCAGAGTTGATATTGAGCCTTTTAGGACGGTTTATGATCACGGGCTCGCTACCCGGTCATGACACCAACTCCGTTCAAAATCTTCCGTTTCCTGAGCACAATATGTGATACAAGATGATGATGGTACATAAAGTATCAAACTGTACCTGAACAGGTTCTCCTCTTCTTATCAAAGACGCTTCAATGCCTGGTCCCAGTCCGCGGTCAATCGAGAAGTTAAATCACATTCAGAGCCAGAATCAAGTGAGGAGATCAGGCTGACGTTAGTTGTGGTAGTTCATCTTTCTGTGAGAAGGCAATGTAACGTAGCTGATTGACTTTCAAATCAATTGGTCTTAGGATGTTGGAATACTCATGGGAAGGAATTGAAGTAGATGAGTTGGTAGACAGCCAAAACATTGGACACATGTGGTGAGAAAAGGGATCTATCTTTACAGCTGACCAAGTTATGCCAAGGCATCTCTCAAAATGGATTGAAAGACATACTTGTCTCATCTCCATCCCATGCACCTGAGAATTGTGCACTTGAAGCCTGCCACGGACCGTCCTGTTCTGTACTATGGGTTGCTGTTAAGGACCCAGCCGGAGACGGACCGCTCCGGAGTGGTCTGGCTAGGCAGGAGGCTTTGGGACCGGGTCAGAGATGCGTGCACCTCCGGAGCAGCATGGTCTCCCAGTGGGTCCGTAACTGCTACTCCTGGACAGACCAAGAGGGAGACTATATATGCTTCAAGAAGCTCTTGCACCCACGGAAGTTGGAAGCAGCGCTTGCATCCATATCCGACCAAAGACATGATTACCTACTTGGTTACACGTATATGCATTGTGGTTTTCAGTCACTGTGACCTGAACCTATCATTGATCTATGTACAATCTCTGTTCTACTGACCAGCACCACCTGAATATGAGAAAGAAGTCATGAGGAGAGAGAAACTCACTGTCAAATTGTAGCTCAGCTCCATACTTCTCCTTGAATACCTCTCGAGCCTGTAGGATCCGTTTCACACGTTCTTTCTGTTCTGCCGCCTCTTGCATAAACCCAGACTGATTGAGACCTCTCCGTTTACTCATGATCATGGTAGCAAGTTCATGCCAAAGCCATATCTTGTATTTCCTAGCGAGTCGGAGAAGCGGTCGAGGTAAGGACCAAACCTGCCCATCAATTTCCCAAGACTCCTCCCTCCAAAGCTCGTCGGGTGTTGCGATGTAGTTGGGGAATTCATCAAGTGGTGAGCAACCATGCCAGAAGGAAGAGGGAACACCATCTTCGTCATAGTCACTCCAGGACTCAAGGGAATGATCGTTAGCTGGCCACGGGGTATTCGCCCGTCGATGTTCTCTTCTTTGTACCGAAGTGTCGCTTTCTGAACTTGTGTCATTGTCCAAGCTTGGAGCAGCTTGTGTATAGGAGGGAGCAGTCATGGAAGTGGTAGTTGACCGATCACCTGGGATCAGTGAAGATACTCCCTTGATCAAGAACTATTTACCACTGTTTGTAGTATCACTCATATCCAAGTCTGTTTCACGCCTCACCTGCTTCTTCTCTGTCCTCCTTCTCTTCTTTTTCTGTTGTCTAGTTCTATCAGAGCTCTCAGGCAATGTAATCAAAGTACGCTCTGTAGCGGTAAGACGGGAGTAATTGTTACACTCATGCTCTGCACCATGGCAGTACAGACCGCACTTGACATTCTTTTGTCTACACCGACATCGATTTGTGGTACATTCCCCTTTACAGCGGCAATGCACTTCTACCTTCTTGATATCTGAAGTATCAGCCACATGATGATCACGGAAACTACTCACCAAAAATTTTATATGCTGCTTCTCTCAATGTAACTTGTGGGAAAGTGTTCCATTTTGACCATCCCAGATGTAGAGAAACCGGTATCTGGAGGTCATCTGCCGGATTGAGTACTTTGCTTTGATATAATCGGGTGAGGACTCCCTCAGAGCAAAGAAGTCGATATGTGTTGCTCTTCTCTGGAAATACCTCACATACCACACAAGGAATACGACTAGCAGGAGCACCTGGCCGATCTTGAGGAGGAACAAACAGTGTGACTTTATCGCCGGTTTTGTAGGTCCAGTTCTTCTGATTGCGTCCATGTTGCTCCACCATTTTGGCTCGACAGAGAGCTTGTCGTTCTCGCATCTTTGTGATGATGTGGTCACTTGCTGTTGGATTCCGACGTGCATGTTCATCCTCCATAATGAGCTGTTGAACCGGGTTGGTAGACGAAGGCTCAGCAGGAGACTGTAGAGGAGTTGTTTCTGGTTGATCAGGCAAAGTTCAAGAACATGACAGAGTAATAAATGCACTTACCAAGCGTGGTCTGCGGATTAGATCCTTGCCCTTCCTGTGGTGTTTCCGTCTCATCCTCCTGATCTTCCCAACGAAAAGGGAGTGGTGTCCCTTCATTATCCTCTTCGTCATCCTCAATTGCTGTCCTGCCATCATCCAACCTAACCTCTTCCACAATGTCTCTGTCACGGCTGTCGAACAACTATCTTCTAGTAGACCGACGGTCGACGAACCTCGGCTAACTTGACGCTTCTAAGTCGATGTCTCACCCAACTAGGAGGGCGCAGACGTCGAAAGGAGTGTAACTACGGCGTACTTCGGCGTAGTTACTCTAACTGAGGTTTTGTTCTACTGATGGCGATGTATCTCGATTGTATATAGCTATCTCTATGTCTTTCACTACTGACAACAATCAAGGATCGCTGAAGAACTTCAGCGATCTTCTCAGCTAATATTATCTACTCCTCCTAGACGTTCATCCAACCCTCTCGCGCTTTGACGTACTTCAACGCACTTCGTCCAACTTCCCCGAGCCCTCGGCCATCCTCTTCCTCCTTCGACTAACTCCGCCTAACATCGCCGCACTTCTGCTCCCATTGTCCCTACTTAGCCTAACTCCATCTAACTTCGCCGTACTTCTGCTCCCATTGTCCCTACTTAGCCTAACTCCGTCTAACTTCGCCGTACTTCTGCTCCCATTGTTCCTACTTAGCCTAACTCCGTCTAACTTCGCCGTACTTGGTGTCAGAAGTCCTGAGTTACGTGTAGAGTAAAGAGGTTAAGGCGTGATGGGGTTTTGATGGCCAAAGGAGGGTCATTGTTGGTGGAGTAATCGAGGTGTCGCGACGTAGTTCGTGACAGTCGCCCCCTTCTTTAGCCGCGAACGTCCTCGTGAGCGATTACACCTCTGTCGTGTCAAGAGAACTTAGCAGCGTAGTACCCCCATTCTCTCCCTCCCCATGACCATCCTTCACCCTTCTGCTCTTTGCGCCGCACTTCGTAGTTGGGCCTCCTTTCACTCCAAAACCCGACAATGAGACTCCCCTAACTTCGTCGAGGTTTGCCGTAAGAAGCCCTGTGTCTTTTGTAGGTGAGACACGCTTCTTGAATGGCAGCCGAACAACACCGTTGTTTGTCGAAGTAACCCTCGCTTATATTGAGATGAGACACTATAGCGTGGGAATTTTGATCGTCCCTGCGATGCCTTTTGTTGATGAAACGCGAAGTTTGCTGCATGTTGACGACGAGGGTTTAGGTTTGATTATACTAAATACTGAGCAGTTCGTCGAGCTTCTCTCTTTTTCCCATCTGCTTTCAAAACTTTCTATCTCTCTTACCTAGAAAACAGATTTGTTACCTTGAATCATCTTTTATTTCTTTAAGTATTTTTAACGTCATGGCCCCTCCTACTCCCACCTCTAACCCTTTCGCCGCCATGAGGAACTTTGGTGGTATGGTGTCGTCTGCTCGTGAGTTATTCCTCGACACTTACCTTACTTCGCCGGACTTGGCTGATGTTCAGTTTCCTTCGGCGACAGATCTCGCCAAGTCTCCTCCCTCGGCCTCGGCACCCTCTCTTTGGGGGAGCCGTCTGGCGATGTCCCGCCTCCTCGCTCCGCTTCTCCTCCCGCCGGTCCTCCCGCTGGTTCTCCCTCTGCTTCTCCTCCTCCTGGTTCTCGCTCTGCTTCCCCTCCTGCCGCCAGCCCTCGCCGCAGGACGCCCGCCTTTCGTCCTGGTGAGTCTCCGTCCTCCTCCGACCAGGAGTCGCTCAGTGGTTCGGAGTCGGACGATCAGTCAGACTTCGAAGGAAAAGGGGGTGATTATAGTGATGAGGATGATAGAATCGTGTCGGAGGGTGAAACCGAGTTAGAGGAACACTCGGATGATGATATGGTGGCGGTTAGTGTAGAGGACAACAACGTAGATAGTCCTGAGCGTGAGTTCTTCGTCCAACCTCTCACACCTTCGCCGAACTTGGCCTTGTTTATCTGTTCTTTAGCTCTTCAAGACATTGCTAACTCGCAGCCGCTCCTGCCCCTCCCCCTGCTCAAATTGTGGGCCAGAAACGACGCCGTTCCCTCTCCTCTTCTTCTTCTTCCTCTTCTTCTTCTTCCTCTTCTTCTTCCTCTTCCGGGGTTCTCCCCCCCCCCAACGCCATCGCCGCTGCCGCTGCTGCTGCCGCCGCCGCCGCCGCCGGTCCTGCTGCCGCCGCCCCCGTCGCTGCTCCCCCCCCTTCTCCCAGAGGGGAGCCTTCGCCCAAACGGGTGAAGAGATCACTGCGGGAAGAAGAGTACTTGTGGGAGAAGATGAAGTCCGAGCCTGGTCGTTGGATCGCGGTTGGTGTTGACGAAGCGTGTGATCGTTGCCGGTGAGTCCACCTATTCGTACTACGCCGAAGTTACTCCTGCTAATTAGTAGACGTGAGATTATCACGTATAATCGTCCAAACTGGCCCTGCCTCAAGGCAGTCAGGCCACACAACAAGGCCCTCCGTTGTGCTTCATGCACGTCTGGCCCCTGCTCCTTCTGTCCCGTTTCCTCTGCCCGGGACATCCGACTCTTCGCCCTTCCCCCTTCCTCAGACTCCAGCGTCTGTCCCCCGCTCGCGGGTACCTCCTTCGTCTCTCCGGTCGGTTCTCCGGTCGGTTCGCCGTACTTCGCCGGACCTCCGCCCGTCGCCTCCGTCGCCGTCGCCCTTCGCCCCTGTGGCCGGCCCATCACGTCTCCCGGCTGTTCCTCCTTCGTCTTCTCGCCGTCCTTCGGCCTCTGCTCCTTCGGCCTCCCGTCCTTCGGCCTCTCGTCCTTCGGCGCCACGTCCGTCCTCTCCAGTGGTAGCTTCTCCTCCGGCTCACAGCACCCGAAGTCGGCGTCCTTCTGTTCCTCTGGCCACTTCGGCGGCCCCTCCCGTCACCCCTCCCTCTGCTCCCCAGAAGACACCGAAGTCTTCTTTAAAGAAATCAAAAGGGAAATCTAAAGAGAAGGAGGTTGCCTTCAATGATGGTGATGTGGAAGGTGAAGATACTCAGCGTGCTGGTCCCTCTGCTCCCCGGTTGTCCCTCGTCCACCCTCGTATCTCCCTGGACGTCCGTATTCCTGAGGACGAAAAGGAATTCGCCACTTATCGTTCTCTCGTCCTCGGTCTCACTACTCAGCTTGAGGCTGCCCGAAATGATACATCTCTCCTGCTTGACTTCTCTTCTCGTCAAGCTAACGCTTTAAACAATCTTACTGCGGCGTTAGTAGATGTAGTCAACACTGGGGCTCTGCACGACGAAGCAAGGACAAGGTTAGCGGACGTCTCTCGCCGAAGCCTTACTGAGATAGCCGATGTTCGCCGAAGACTGTTCGACACCCCCTTCCTAGTCACTCCTATGGCGTATGAGCCACCACCGTCCCTTGACTGGTTAGGTCGCCGTAGTAATTCTCGTGTCCCAGCTTCCGCCCAGACTGCTCTCGACCTCCTCAGTCTTCCCTTCGAGTGTCTACGGACCATACGTTCTCTGTGGAGGACCCCGAGCATGCAAGCTGCTCGAGATGTCCAGGACTTCGGTGACTTCTTTGGGGCTATGAATCGGGCATGGAATGCTTCTCTCTCTACTGCGTTCCCGTCTGAGACTCTCGATCTACCTTCGGTCATCGGTAGCCTCCACACCAATCCCGCGGGACCGAGTAGATCGAAGGAGAAAGGAAAAGGAAAAGGTAAGGGTAAGAGTAAGGACAAGTGAGCGGTACGTAGCTGTAATCCTATGTTGTATGCAGTACGTTCTATCTCCTAGCCCTTCGCAGTCGCCCTTCCTTCGGCTTAGTAGGGTGAAGTTCGTGGAACTTCGCCAATATGTCGTCAGCTCCATCGACGTTCTCCACTGGTTCCCATGATACTGAGTCGTCTGTTCCTTCGTAACCTAACCACTCCACCAAGTACTCTAACTTTCCTGATCTCTTATTTACTCTAGAGTCTACAATGTCTTTTACCTCCCACGATTCCCCTACATTATCTACCTCTACTGGGCCAGGTGGTTCAGCTTGCTGACCAGGAAATATTGGAGGGTGATAAGGACGGAGCAAGGAGACATGGAATACATCATGGATACCTGCCATCGTTCCTGGTAATTCCAATTTACAAGCATGAGAACCTACCTGCCGTACTACCTTGTACGGCCCACTTTGCTTAACATCTAACTTCTTCATTGGTCTCTTCGTCTTAATATTCTCTAACGACAGCATCACTAGGTCTCCCTCCGCGAAGTTCGGCGTAGTCCGGTGTTTCCTATTGTATCCTTCGGCGTACTTCTCATTAGCTTTCTCAATTCCTTCGATACAATCTTTGTGTATTTCAGTCAAGTCTTTTACCACCACCGTAGCAGCGGGCACTTCGACCTCGCTAGCCTTTATCTCTTCAGCCCAACGAGGGTGATATCCATAGTTCGCATAGAATGGGGTTTTGTTTATCGCAGAGTGCTGGGTGTTGTTGTAAGCAAAGCTAGCTCGAGCGAGTAGCTTTGACCAGTCGTTCTGCTGATAGGAGGTGAAGATTCGAAGATACAGTTCCAAAGACTGGTTGGTTCGTTCGGTCTGTCCGTCAGTCTGTGGATGATATGCAGTAGAGAGATGTAGTCTTATTCCGAGACTATCGGTCAAATTCTTCCAGAACTTGGAGGTAAACTTCGATCCCCTGTCCGATACTATATTCTCTGGCAACCCATGCTGGGCCACCACATAGTCCAATATCAACTCTGATAGGCCGGCTGCGGTTAACTTCGTCGTAGTCGGGATAAAAATGGCCCATTTGGTCAACCGATCCACCACTACCAGGATGGAATTATATCCATGGGAATTTGGCAGCTCCTCGATAAAATCCATCGAGATGCTAGACCAAGGTTTCGTAGCTACCTCCAGTGGTTTAAGCTCCCCATGAGGTTTCTGCCTGTTAGTCTTCGCTCTCTGACATACCGCGCATCCAGCAACATAATCTTCGACATCCTTCCTTACTCCCACCCAGACATAATCCCTCAGGACTAGTTCAAGGGTCTTCGCCGAACCTGGATGACCGGCCAAGGCTGAGTCATGTCGCATCTTCATGATCTTCAGCCGAGCATCGGCGTAGTTCGGCACATAAATGCGATCGTCGAATGTGAGGAAACCTCTTGAGTTCCACCCCCCACGAAGGATTAGAGGAGACCGCGAACTACGGCGTAGTTCGGTGATTGATCCTGGTTCCTGCACGTTATCGTTACACGTAGGATGAGAACACTCAGCGCAAACGACTCCTAATAATTCTTCTCTGACCCCTTCTATGTCTTCGTCCTCCTGAACTCCAAGTACTAGATCCATAGGGTCCACAAGATCATTTTCCTTTACCTCCCTTGTCCCTTGCAATGCTCGAAGGAGGTGACGCAACTCCGACGTGGTGGCGTCAACTTCGTCGAACTTCGGCAGACCTTGGATAAGGTTGCTCTCTTGTACCATGGTACTTCCTTTCCCGGAATGATAGTCCGCCCGTCTAGATAATCCATCTGGAAGACTTGCCTGGGTTCCTGGCCGATAAACCATTTTAAACCTGAAGTTAGCTAGCTCCTCTACCCACCTACCTTGCCGAGGACTGAGTTGTTTCGGTTCCATCCAGTAGGTAAGGTTTAGATGGTCGGTAAGTACTGTGGTTTCCACCTGCAATAATAAGTGTCTCCTTCTTCTGAAACCCTCCACTACAGCGAGGAACTCCTTTTCTCCTACCGTATAATTCAGTTGAGCTGTGTTGAAAGCACCAGACTCAATAGCTACCGGGTGTTCTTGACCAGCCGTGTTGATCTGCGAAATTATGAACCCCCAGCCGAAGAACGACGCATCTGTCTGTAATATCGTCTTCAATGTAGGGTCAAAATGGGCTAACACCGGCGCAGTACACATCCTAGCCTTCAACTCTTTGAAGGCTGACTCCTGTCCGACTCCCCATACAAATGGTACCTCCTTCCTTGTCAAGTCATTGATAGGTCTAGCAATCTTCGAGAAGTTGGGGACAAAGCGCCTGTAGTAGCTTACAACTCCAATGAATCCCCTTGACTCTCGTAGATTCTTAGGACGTGGGAAGGAAGTGATGGCATCAATGTATTCTGGGTTCACCGATACACCTTTAGAGGATACCACGAAACCCAGAAACACCACCGAATCTCTTTCGAACTCGCACTTACTAGCTTTCACGTACAGGCTCGCCTTCCGCAGTACCTCAAAGACCTTCGCCGTAGTTCCTCGTAATTCCTCCAACGTATTCCCATAAATGAGGATATCGTCAATGTAGACCACGACTCCATTCCCTAGTAGCTCTCTAAACACCTCATTTAGGAAGTGTTGGAAGACCGCGGGGGCGTTTCGCAGCCCATCACGAACAACCAGAGATTCAAACATACCATACTGTGTCCTGAACGCCGTCAGGTGTTCATGTCCCTCTGTCACCCTCAACAATTGGTATGCTCCAATTAGATCTAGTTTGCTGAAATACCTTGCTTTTCCAAGTTCCTCAGTAATTTGACCTATTAGAGGGAGAGGGTAGGCATCTGGTATGGTCGCTTCGTTCAGTTTTCGATAGTCGATGACCATTCGCCATTGTCCTTCGGCTTTCTTCGGTATCATAAACATTGGTGAGCCGTATGGCGAGTTACTTGCCCGAATTCGGCCAGCGGCGATTTCGCGATCTAGTATGTCTCTCAGCGCGCGTCTCTGATCTTCTCCTTGAGCATAGAGGGAGGCGACCTTAAGGTTCGCCCCCTCCTTAAGCTCAAACTTCAAATCGTAGGACCTTGAAGGGGGAAGGGTCTCTCCTCCCTTCTTCGGATTAAAAACGTCAATGTACTGGTGGTATTGTTCAGGAACTACCTGGAACAACTCGTCTTGTTCCTCCGGGCTCAGCTCTTCAAGCTCATCTTCGCCGCGGAGGTCTATCGCGTCCGTCGGAGTCGGCAGCCCTATGGCCGCTAACTTCGCCGCACTTGGTGGGGTTGGAATGGGAAATTTCACCGAGTTGTCTCTTCCATCAAGGACAACCCCTTCCTTCCTCATCCAATCCCACCCTATCACAACATCTGCGTCGCAGAGCGTTGTTACATCGAGACAAACAGATCGCACTTCGGCGTCCTTCGTCAAACTAAATCCGACTTCGACAAACTCGGTGATGGGTCCAGCGACACTCACCGAGCCGTCGAACATGTGAACGGGTACGCTCACCTGATATCGCCTCTTGTCTACACCTATCTTCGCTGCCGCCCTAGGGCTTATATATGAACAAGTAGCTCCAGTGTCCCAGAGCGTAGTTAGCTTTATTCCATTAATGAAAATGTCCGATTTAGGTTGATCTCTGGAAACGGAAGGGATGAGGAGATGATTATCGACATTGCATGAACAAGGGGTACTGAGTGGTGTATTTTTGTATTCACAATCCTCTGGCTCCATCAGCTGTGTTTCTTTTATGGGTTTGGGAATGGTGGCCGAGAGAATATGGCGGACCCGCCGAGCCTCGCCTACTGCGACAGGTCCTCTTCTTTTCCCTGGTCCTCTTCCAAATCTACTTCTCCTCCAACCGCATTCAAGTTCCTCCTCTGTCCGAGAGGTACTGCGTTCCCTCCCGATCCTCCACCACGTTCTCCGAACTTCCCCCCCCATGGAGGCAACAGTCCAACCTTAACCTTAGCCTCCCTTACAGGGCATTCCTTCAGCCAATGTCCTGCTTCACCACACTCGGTACACTTCCCCTCCTTCCTCCTTGTCTCCCTCAGATCGGAGCTCGGCCTAGGCCATCTTCGGCGAACTTCGTCGATGTTTGGCGGTGTACTCTTTACCACCGTCGACATCATAGCCGCCTGGACACCACCCTGCGCCGAAGGTTGCCCCTTTTCCCATTTCTTCTCTTCTTTCTTCTCTGTCCTCTGACTTTCCACCACTGTCGTTGTCCTTATCCCTCCTTCCCTTTTCCTCTCTGCCTCCTTCTCCACTTGTCTCCTCCACAGGCGGTTGTCCAAGGGAATCACAAACTCCAATAGCTCTTTCACAGTCCCAAACGATCTACCGTGTCTTGCAATTTCATCTAGAAGGTGTGATTTTAGTCCTTTCTTGGCTCGGTCAACTAGGTTTCCATCATCAGACCACTTAAGAATCGCAACATGTCGCTGGAAGGCGGAGAAGTAGTCCGAAGCAGACCCGGTTTGCTTGAGGTCGTTAAGTTGTCGGGCCGCAGTTCCTTCTTCGTCTGGATCACCAAAGTTAGTCTTGAGGTACTTAATGAACTGATCGTGTGTCGTGAGGTACTCAGGAAGAGGTCTTTTGGATAGATCGGGCTGCACTGCAAGAAGAGGTGTTTCGCGTAGATGAGAGATCATGAAAAAGACTTTCTTAGTGTCGTCGGGGAAAAGATGAGAGTTCAATTCGAAATGTACGTCGCACTCAGACAGAAAGGCGGTTAACTTGTTCCGATCTCCTCTCCAGAGGTCTGGGTTAGGTAGCTTTATCCCCTTCCGTTGTTCGCCCACTACGCTTGGGGTCGCCGAAGTTTGCCGTCCCATGGCGTACCTCACTCCTTCTGATATCCCTTCTGCAATCCCGCCCACTGTATCCCTTTCTCTTCTCTGTTCCCATTCCTCCCTACGCCTTCTCTCCTCCATCATGTCTTTGTTCATATTCGCCACCATCTGCATCAAGGCCAACACCACCCCTTGTGTTCCTTCTTCTCCCAAGTTCGCCGTACTTCCAGTGTTTTCTCTTGGGCGTGGGGTTTGGTCTGATCCAAGTGGGGATCCCGCAGGTGGGAGAGCATTAGACGGAGGAGAAGGAGGGTTAGAAGGCACCGGTGGAACGAACTCATCTCCTTGAATTGATCCCCCCACACTATCCTCCACTCCAAGGTCCTGCCCCATTGCTCTGCTAAGCTCCTCCAATGCTCTCCTCTCGTTCTCTTCCATCCTGTCTCCATCCCTACTCATGCCTCGCGTAACTCTCCTTTCTGGTTCCATAATATCTTCGTACTTCTCCGAGGTTCGCACGGGTCGTCGGTAAGAGCGATCCTTGATACTGTCACGGCTGTCGAACAACTATCTTCTAGTAGACCGACGGTCGACGAACCTCGGCTAACTTGACGCTTCTAAGTCGATGTCTCACCCAACTAGGAGGGCGCAGACATCGAAAGGAGTGTAACTACGGCGTACTTCGGCGTAGTTACTCTAACTGAGGTTTTGTTCTACTGATGGCGATGTATCTCGATTGTATATAGCTATCTCTATGTCTTTCACTACTGACAACAATCAAGGATCGCTGAAGAACTTCAGCGATCTTCTCAGCTAATATTATCTACTCCTCCTAGACGTTCATCCAACCCTCTCGCGCTTTGACGTACTTCAACGCACTTCGTCCAACTTCCCCGAGCCCTCGGCCATCCTCTTCCTCCTTCGACTAACTCCGCCTAACATCGCCGCACTTCTGCTCCCATTGTCCCTACTTAGCCTAACTCCGTCTAACTTCGCCGTACTTCTGCTCCCATTGTCCCTACTTAGCCTAACTCCGTCTAACTTCGCCGTACTTCTGCTCCCATTGTTCCTACTTAGCCTAACTCCGTCTAACTTCGCCGTACTTGGTGTCAGAAGTCCTGAGTTACGTGTAGAGTAAAGAGGTTAAGGCGTGATGGGGTTTTGATGGCCAAAGGAGGGTCATTGTTGGTGGAGTAATCGAGGTGTCGCGACGTAGTTCGTGACAGTCTCGCCCTTCTAGAGTGTCCCACATATCAATTTCACGGGGTTTACGCCCAAAAACAGCACGATAAGGTGTGTGTAGTGTAGCACTGTGTCTTGTGAAATTGATGGAGCGGATTACATGTGGGAGTCCATCGGCCCTGATGGCAGTCAGCAACCCTCGAGCATCTCCTCATCTTGGAACATACCACGGCCGGTCTGGGTTATCCAAACACCATTTTGATAATCGGCTCTTCATGGTTGAGTTTCCCTGCTCAACAAGGCCCTGGACACGAGGTGTGCGAGGTAGCCCATGTTTTATCTTGATATCAAAGCGCTTTGCCAAATTGATGATAAGCGTGTTGCAGAATTCTCTACCATTGTCGGACTGGAGTATTTGTGGTGCTCCAAAGTGATTGATCCAGGTCATAAGATGCTGTTCAACATCTGCTGCACTTTTTTTTGGCATGGCGTACTGAGATTAGCCGGCCATACCAAGAGCAGGATAATCACCTACCATCTGTGAATACTTTGTAAAATGGTCCTTAATATGGCATATCCAGCGCATTGTTTCTGTTCCGACTTTACACTCCATTGCGCGCATATCAACAAGATCGATTTGGATACGCTCAAAGGGAAAGCTGGACGTGATGGGTTGGATTTGACCAGGATCCTTGTTGCGAGCTCTGAGAGATTTAGCACATCCTGCTCCATGTACAGGAACTTACTTCAGCATGCAGATATTGCACGATTTAATTGCTTTCACCACTTCCTTCTTCCCTACACCACGGTAGTACCTAGCAATCTCTTCATGAGTCTTGTTCTGTCCTGAGTGGGCGGTTTGTAAACAATGTACTCGTTTGATGACTGTGAGAACTTGTGAGATAGGAACAAGCTTGTACCATTGATCACCTTCAGGAGAAGGTCGATAGAGGACTTCTTCCCCATTCTCCCCAAGACGATGTTGTTTCCGGACCTTTGTAAGCCAGGAGTTATGTGGTGCTTGGAAGTGAGGGGGTGAGGCCCCATCATGTTTCAAAACCCAGCGTCGAGCTTCGATATCCTCGTCTGTGAAGGTGTAGGCAAAGTTTTCGTTCTTCACCCAGTTTACAAAAGCGTGTTCAAACTGCGGTGTGAAGGCGTCTTGAGGAAGGGAGTTGGTTGAAGGATTTGACATGGTTTACACGTGAAAGCAGTAAGAAACAATCACAAAGGGATGATACAGGTGTTAGGATGGAATGTAAACAGAAAGAGCACAAGTTCATTGGACATGTTGGGCAGGAATTATCGGAGACTTGTTGAGTGTGGCGATCTCCAGCTGGGTCTGATGGAGATTCTCCGGCTGGGTCCGCATAGAAGCATACCACTCCGGAGGGGTCCATCTCTGACCGGGTCCAATCAGATCCGTGCGACTCCGGAGTGGTCCGTCTCCGGCTGGGTCCTTAACATTGCTATTATGAAAACGGTGAAGAAATGATGGGGAAGATCCGGTCCCCAACATGAGATGGAAGCACAGTGAGCTGACATGCAAAAGTCTCATCTGGATTCCTATGCATCGTACTAGCTCATCTCATGTGTCTTATGGGAGATGTTAAAATGTCATAGCAGCACAAAGGACCACATTGTCCCTCTGCCCCATATGGCTGAATTCATCAATCACAATCTCCTTGATCTGGGGGATCTGAATGACGGCTCATGAAGTACTTGTGAGATTGTGCCCCAGGGAGGGCCCTCCGGATACGACTCGTTCATTCTGCTGCGCCATCGGTGAAATGGTAAGGGTCCAGGGAAGCCTACGGAAAACTTGCCGTCCTGCAATTCCAGATACGCAGGAGGGAAGCCACTGGTCTCAGTTGAAATCGAACGATATAGTAATACATAAAGACATGAACGAGCGAACAGAAGAAAAGTTTCAACGCGTTTAGCTTATCTGATCCCTCCAACACTCCCACCAAGCAAACGCAGTTAGAACTTTCAGGAAAGCCGTTGTTCCGTGCGCATGACTATGAATCACTCCAAATCCATTGTTGTGTCGCTTCCCGTTTCGTCTCCTGTTCCGTCTCCCATTTCGTCCTCATCTCCCATCTCGCTCCCGTCTCCCATCTCGCTCCCATCTCCCATCTCGCTCCCATCTCCCATCTCGCTCCCATCTCCCATCTCGCTCCCGTCTCCTGATTTGCTGTCCTTATCAAATTCATCACCTTCCTTCAATAAATCCAATCTGATGCCTCGTAATTTCACAAGTTCCGTTTCCATGTTTGAGATTACCTCATCCAGTCGATGAAGGGCTGCTGATGTAGACGAGCGTTCTTGTTCACTGAGGGTGGTAGAAGGTTGAGAACTAGTTTCTGGATGTAAATCGTAGCCGGAAGGGGATAATTGGTCTGGGTGTATCGTTATCTGAGCATCAAAGTTCTCTCTTTGATGTTTAGAGTCAATAGAACAAGGATGTTTATTGAGCGTACATGTGTTACATTTGGACAGTTTGGTCGCACGAGGGTGTGAAAGGAGAAGGATTATACAGCTTTTCTTAGAATCACGGCAAGTTTGGCATCCGGGGAGGGAGATTTGACCATTCTCTTGAATGAATGTGGCTCGATCGATTTGAGCTTGAGCTGTAGCTGAGGGCATGTTGTTGAATGGGTAGTGATGGTTGACAGTGTTCTTCATATATGGCCAAGTGGGATCTCGTTTGTTGCTTTCAACTGCTTCTACTGGGCCGGAAGTGTTAGGTTCACCGGAACTGCCCAGACGGCCGGAACCGCCCAGACGGCCGGAAGTGTTTGGTGGACCGGAAGTGTCAACCTGACCGGATGTGTCAGAGTCACCAAAGCGGGTGTAGTCAGGAGGCTCGTCCGGTAGTGTGACGACTACACAAGCTCTCTCAATGCTTGCAGGAAATAGTGATAGACCAAGCATTTCTGTGAATCGAGCGAACAAAGTTGGTGACAAGGGTTTTGTGAGTCCATCAGCAAGCATTGCAGCAGTTTTGACATACTCAATATTGATGATCGATCGTTCGACAAGTTCACGAAGATAATGAAACCGAATATCGATCTGTTTTGCTCGAGAGTGACCAGTTGGATTTCGAGCGATGGCGATCGATGCTTGATTATCCCCATAGAGTTTGATTGCTTTCTTGGGAGCAAATCCAAGTTCTGATAAGAGCGAACGAAGCCACATTGCTTCTCGAGCGGCTTGCGCAAGTCCCACATACTCAGCATCTCCTGTGGCAAGAGCAACAGAAGGCTGAAGCTTGGATTGCCAACTGATGGTTCCACCCCAAAGTCTAAAGACATAACCGCTTGTACATCGACGTCGCTCGGTGTCGCTCGTAGCAAAATCTGCATCACTAAATCCATCCAGCTCGCTCCCACCATTCGCGTATCGCATACCGATCGTTCGGGTGTGTTTGAGATATTGTAAGACAGAGAGGACTGCTTCCCAATGAGTGATAGAGGGGTCACTTGAGAATCGACCGAGCAATCCGACCACATACGCAAGATCTGGTCGAGTTCCAAGCATGGCATACATGAGCGAACCAATGGCTGTCAGATATCGACTTCGATCCGTCGAGGGTTCTTCAGGGAGGCGAGCATGCAGGATTGTTTTGTCTTTCATGGGTGTGTCTTTTGGTTTGCAATCTTGCATATCAAATCGTGTGAGGATGGTGTCAATGTACTTGAGTTTGGCATAGATCGAGCTGGCGCTTCGATCGATCGCGCTTGACTTGTAAACCAAGGATGAAGTGCAGCTCACCAAGATCTTTCATGTCATATCGCTTTGACATTTCGTTCTTGAAGAATTCGAGCGTGCTTGAGCGAGATGCAGCAATGGTGAGGTCATCCACATACACTCCAACAATGATTAGATCATCGAACTGACCTCGAACATAGATTGAGTGATCTGACATCGTTCGAACGAACCCGAGTGAGCGAAGTGTTGAGTCGAGTTCGCGGTACCAAGCTCGAGGTGCCTGCTTGAGTCCATAGAGTGATTTGTCCAGTTTCCAGACCATCTTGTCATCTTGAGCAAACCCTTCTGGTTGTTCCATATAGACTACTTCATCGAGCGAACCGTAGAGGAAGGCAGTTTTTACGTCCATCTGATGAAGTTCAAGATCGTGCATGGCAGCCAGTGCGAGGATTGTTCGAATGGATTGAAACTTGGCAACAGGAGCAAATGTCTCATCATAATCAATGCCAGGTTGTTGAGTGAAACCTCGAGCGACTAGTCGAGCCTTGAACCGATTGATGTCACCACTGGCAAATCTCTTGACCCTAAAAACCCATTTGCAAGTTACAATCCTGCCTCGAGCGATCGATCGAGGTACCAGATGATAGACCTTTGCCTTTTGAAGAGAATTCATTTCATCCTGAGCAGCTGATTTCCATTGCTTTGAGTCGAGCGATCGGATTGCTTCTTCCCACGAACGAGGCTCATCGACCGAGATGCGTGCCGCAAAGGCAGCAAGCGAATATGGTGAGAGGGGATTTGGCCATTGAGGGAGGCGAGCGTCTGAAGGAGAAAAATCATGGTCGCCCGGTCGACCGAGGAAATCGTTCAGCTCGATCTCGTAGTCTGGATACTGGGAGACAAGACCAAATGTTCGACCCGAGCGAGTTTGCATTCGTTCGGGTTGACGATCTTCCAGTTCGGGTGAGGGAGCGTGCTCTCGAGCAAACCGGGGGTCTTCCTCATATTGCCAACCAGGGAATCGAGCCAATTCGTTCGTTCGATTTTGCCCTTCATCTCCCACCAATTCCTCTGTTCCTGCCCTCTCTCCATCTCCCACCTGTCCTCCTGCTCCCACCACTTCTTCATCTCCCACCTCTTCTTCATCTCCCACCACTTCGAACACATCGAACGGGCTCGAGATGCTCGAAGTACTTGTTTTTGAAGTGGGTTCAGGTTCAATTGATCTTGTTTTAGCACCAAGCTGTGTGTCAAGTAGAAAGAGCTTGTTCAACTCAGCAAGCGAAGGAGATGAGCGTAGCATCCTCTGTGGTGAAATGGATTCATCGAAGATGACATCGCGTGAGATGATGACCTTTCGAGCGAGTGGATCCCAGAGTCGGTATGCCTTCTGAGTGAGAGCATATCCAAGGAGACAGCACAAGGTTGCACGAGGTTGAAGTTTACTATCTCGAGCGCTTTTCCGAACGAGCGCCCAAGCCGCACATCCAACAACTCTGAGTTTGGATAAGTTAGGCTTGATATGAGCAAACATCTCGAGTGGAGTCTTATCTTTGATCGAGCGAGATGGTGATCGATTCTTGAGATACACAACAGTTGCCATGATCTCTGCCCATAGAGTGACAGGAAGTTTCTCTGAGTGGAGGAGTGCAATTGTTCGTTCAACAATAGTTCGATTTGCTCGCTCTGCTACTCCATTCTGCTGAGAAGTGTAGGCAGCTGTGGTTTGGTGCTCTACTCCCAGCGATGCGAGATAGCTTTCAAACTCCTTGCTTGTGAATTCTCCTCCATTGTCTGAACGAAGACATTTGAGTTTCCGCTCGCTAACTCGTTCTACTCGAGCGAGCCACTCTTTGAATCGACCGAATGCATCTGACTTTTGAGCGAGAAAGAACGACCAGGTATATCTCGAATGATCATCCACCAGTACCATCATATACTGTGCTCCTCCATCCGAGCGAACTCCCATTGGTCCGCAGAGGTCGGTGTGAACGAGGTCTAGGATAGCTTCAGCTCTTGATTCACTTGGTGGGAAAGGAGGGCGCACAATCTTTCCCATAACACAACCTTCACAGACATCTTTAGGAGGTGTCGAGCGAGCGAGTGATGCTCCGTTGCTCATTCGACCGAAGAGCGATTTCATGGCACTGGAGGATAAATGACCAAGGCGTCGATGCCAGATGTCCCAGGTCGTTCGAGTATTACTGGCTTTGATGTTGTTGGTTGCCAGTGCAAGAGTAGTGGGTTCAAACAAGGTGGGTAAGATCCGAGCCATGTCCTTCAGATCGGTCGTTCGATCGGACCATTCTCCAGCTTCCACCACATACACCTTATCCACTTTGTGCGCTCGAAGTACCTCGAGCTCACCTTTCATGACAGAGCACTTCCCACCACCAAACACCACCGTTGCTCCGAGCGAGTCGAGTCGAGACACCGAGATGAGGTTAAATCCCAGGTCAGGTACATAAAGAACTCGACTAA